GTTGTCTTCGGGCTTGTGCAATCGCCAAGCGTGCGGGCACGTGTTTTCGTGATCTGCGCTAGCTAAAGCTTCAAATCCATTCTGGCCTAGCTCCAAAGCTATCGAAATGCCGTCCCGTTGACATCTCGACGTTGTCTGTACCCTGAACGCGTTCAAAAGCGACCCCTCGTGACATCTAATTTATGCGATCACCAGAACTAGTCCCTTCTTGAAAGATCCGCGCACAATTCCGGGTTCGCTTTCGTTTTAGTTATTCTCTCTGTCGCGGGGTGCAGACAACTTCCGATCATGCCAGCCCAAACAACATGTCCAATACCCGAAGTCGACCGCGCGCTGTCGTCATACATAAACAATCGGGAAGACACGCTAAGGATACGGCGGGCTCTTTCCAAGTATCTCACCTCAAGCCTGAGGCCCGTCAATGCGGCGACCCAGAACCAGCATCTGAACCATGAGTGCCCACAGAACCTATCTGCCTCCAACACCAACCCTCCAGGCCTGAAGGACACTCGTTTGGAATATCTGCAAGCTCTGCGCGCTAATTCCCAAGCGCAAACAAGGCACCGTGAACTTCAGACGTCATTAGAAGATCTACGCAACCGCTACGTAGACGAGAACCCAACGCAGCCAGAATCAGAATACGACAACGAAGTTACACGAAGTTATGTTGCTTTACTACGACAGCGCCGGCGCTATGCAGAACTTCAGGTCATCCAAGAGTCTCTAGACAAGCTCCTCACCGCAAAGCCATCGACCGCTGCGGCTGACCCAAGAGCTTCCATCAAAAGCGCCATCGGCGAGCAACCAGACTTACCTGCCGAAAGACTAGAGCAACTATCGCAAGCCGAAGATGACCAGAACTGGGTCTTCAAGCTGAAGCAGGAGGTACTCGAGGCGCGAACAGCCATGGAGCGCGCCCAGGCCGCGAGGAAGAAGGCCCAGGATGAGATGCCTGGCGAACCCAGCTTGCAAGCGCAAGTCCATGCACTACAGCGAGCAAGAGACGAGCTCGTCGATTGGGTGCAAGGGGAGTTGGCTAAGATGGAGGAGGATAGTGTTTTTCTTGAAGATGCTTCGCCCGTCAAACGTCCAGTCAGCGTCGCGGCACCCGTCGATCTTGCGTCAGCAGAGACACAGATACGAGAATCGTACAACAAGTACATCGAAGCTCGTGCTAGTCTGCTCGAAGCTCATGCAAGCCTCCAACAACCACCGGATGTCCAGACTGACGATCAGAACGGCGGTCAAACTACACCCAACGAAGACAGCAAAGCCACAGCAACGAAGCCTATCCGGCCGATCACCAAACTCTTGCCTTACCTTCCGCATCTCACTCAAATCGCCAACAATGAGCGTTCTCTGCTCCAGCAATCTGTATACCTTCAGAGCCAGATAGCATCTGCAGACCAAGACATTGAAGAAGCGCTTCTCCGACTCTCCGGTGAAAGCCATCTCCTGCCCGCTGGTTCTAAAGAAGTCGTAGCATGGGGCAAGACAGCACGGGAAGCTGAGGCGGCTACTGAAAAACTGGTGAAGGAGCGTCTGCAGGCTGCTCGGCAAGAAGTGGGGAGTGTGAGCACGATTGTAGAGCTTTGCTCGTTACAGAGCAAGGTGTTGGAGTCAGCATAGGACGAGGAGGCGATGATAGTATGGGATAAGGATCGCGAAGCCTAGGTTATGGCTATAATCAAGCAAGAAAACATCATCTTCGCCAGTCACACAGGGCTTGTACGTAGCCCTAGAATGGATGATGGCATGACCTTTCTACATTGACATCACCATGACAGACAAGCTCCTTTGTTCGATGCAAGCGGTAAACATTCCCATGGCTGACTGAACAAGTGATGTCTAAAAAGATTACCATTGCTCAATATGTGACATCGAAGTGCTTTCTTTTGGTTCTCAATTCAAGTGCACCTTTATTTTACATCTTGCAGGATCATCTCGAGCAGCTACTGATATTTGGCTCAACACTTTCTTGCCGGTATACACGGATCGAGGTCGGAACAAAGCAATAGAATACGAGAGACAGCCATAGCTCGCACATAAATTTTTTTCGGTGGCCATTTTGAGACACAAACACCATACAGCGATCCGTCGTCTTTTTTGAAGTATCAGTTCGCGGGGAAAAGCGGTAGAGAACACAGAAGCGCAAAGCGCAGATGGCAGGCTTTATATAGCCGTCGGTATCGGTTATCGACAGCATTATGAGTGTGTGATCAGTGCCAGATGCAGACGAAGCATGAAATCTTCATCAATTGGTTTTATGTCAAGTGCGAGCGCTACATGTCTACCATGCATCACTTTTTCGTTTCTCCGAAGTACTAGCATTTTAATCGTAAAATGTATCATGGAGAAGTTTGCGTATGAATTCATTATCCTCTTCTCCTTAGACATGGCATTGCATCCTTTTGATTTTGTTCTAGAGTCCAGGAGGATCGGCCATGCGATAGTTGCAGCGTAATTTTGATCTAGCAAAGCCGGGCTTCGAGACATGGACAAGTGAGAGAGAACAGAACCCATATGTTTGTGTGCTCCTCGTATCGTCGAGACGGGAAATTTTGTTGTATAGTGTGCATTTTGAATGTCAGTAGCCCTGGGATAAATTCCGTTCTCAGCTCGCGCCAGCACATAATCGAAGCCTTCGATTCGTTTGGTAAGAAGACATGAAAGAGTATCTCAATGTTTTGTTTTGAAGACCGAGCAGCTTGGGGTGATAAGAGAAAGACTGTGAGGGGCAGGAACGGGATTTTATATATGTGAGCGGTCAGTGCGCTGTATTAACTTCGCGATACAAGTCATAGCCAAGTATGTTGCGGGCCAGCTATTCAGCATCAATACATATCAGCGAACACCATAGTGTTGGCTCATTTCTGTTGACTTCCTGAGCACTCCCACTAGCACATGACATGACACCCTCGTTTTTTTGTTGAAAATGAACACATGTACTCATGCGTCCGAAAACCGGATTTCTACACAATCAGTCTGCTCGGTCTTCTCCATGACGTGCGCAAGTACCTGTCTCAAAACCGTATTTTCCGACAAGAACATAAAAATGTTCATGTGAATGCTGCAGCGTACACTCAAACATACGTCCAACATGCCTCGAGTTCCTGCTTACACATAGGGCGATCGCCTATGGTTTTGGTTCAAACAACGCAGAACACATCGCAACCCTCTCGTACTCTTTGGAACATGGGAAACCAATCGTAGGTGGTTTTTAGTGGGAAAAGCAGAGTGTATGCGAGGAGAAGAGCAGTACCAAGTCGATATTTTATACACGATCCAGCACTACTCACACCATCAAGTATGGTAGGTGTATTTTTTGAACGTGAAAGTGAACACTTAGTCTCATCCAAAGATTCTTTCATGCTTTTCTCGTTCTGGACGAGGAGATCGTGTAGGAGAGCGATGGCGAACACGCACCAGCCATAACTAGATCGCCGACGGTTTTGAAATGCGCACATGCCGTGTTGATCTGGCAATTTGGAGAAAACCCGAGCGAAGATCTCAGGGACATGAGTTCCGGACGAGGATGTTTCTGGAAGACTGTCTCCATAAGAAAGATCAGAAAAGCGTTGGAAAGGAATAACCTTAAGAAGGGAGAGTATTCATATTTGCACATGAAGTTTTTGACGATGGTTTTGAAAGACAGAATAACCACATGGCTTCGAAATCCAGTCTTTTGAGGGAAAGATGGGTGTCTGGAAGACAATGTGGAAAGTTAATGCTCCAAGATGTGATCTCTTATATATGAACCGTCAAAGGTCTGTGCGTTCATCTTGCTTGGAACATGTCGGTAGAGGTTCATCCGAATCTGCCACCACCTGATTCAAATTCAGCTTTCGCTAGAACATGACATTGAAGGAAATGAAAGAAGGTATAGGAGGTATCGTAGGTATCAATCCATCAGTAATCGCTCAAAACCAATCCAAGCATACTCCACCTCATCACGTAGCCACCACACAACTCGCTTGTGCCAAGCTTTTACATACTCATCACCTCCAACAGCCTAGACATCCCTCCAATTCCGACTAGTCACTCGCTCTCTCGTATCCAGTCTCGCGCCTCTACCCATCTCGCGATACTCTCTCGCAAGCCCGCCTATATCACTTCCTTGATCGATCATCCTTACCTTCCTCCTCTCCTCCACAAATGTAGCAGGCTGTCCGTTTTCATCGATACCCTTCCAGCTTCTAACTTCGGTCATCTCAGCTGAATGCGCGCTCTCTGAGTCGGTGTGATCTTCTTCTTGTCTTCGGCGACGAGGCGGTGGGGTCACAGAACGAGTGCGTTCGAGTGCGCGTGTGCGAGAGACATGGCGGAACAGTGGCTGCGGCGGTCGTTCAGGCGATGGAGGAGAGGGCGGAGGACGGGGTGTGCGACGTGCGGGAAGAGGAGAGATATTCCGCATGCGTACCTCTTCGAACCGTCTTGAGGGCGGAGGAGAAGGTGAAATACGGCGCTGTCGATCAATGCGAATTTCCTCTTCGTACTCCCTTCGTGGAGATGGCGATGAGTGTCGTATGCGGATCCTCTCGAAGTCCTGGGCTAGTGGCTCCGGTGGAGGATCATCTACAACCCGATGGCGGGAATACTCTCGGTAATGCTCGTACTTGTCGCCACTCGCCAGTCGTTCATCGGCATATCTTGATCTTCCTCTTGGCTCCAGCACTGGGTCTTCTTGCCTTCTTCCACCACCAAAGTGAACACGAGGTCCTCCGACTTCTACGCGCATGCTCTGCTGACTTTCGCGCATGGTATCTCTTCGCCTGTGGGAGGTTTCGTGTTCGGTGCCTAGGGGCTTCAGGATGCTCCGACTAGGTGAATCCAAACGGCGCCGTGGCACAGAGTCAGCATTGCTCGAAGTTTCATCCGACGCCTTGAGAAAGCTACGCTGCTCTGGTACAATCGGGCGGTGCGGCCTCGGATGCGACATGAGACGAGCTTCCGCTTCCTCACTTTGCCTTTGAGCCCGGAAACTGACACGAACTGGAGATCTACTTGAACTCCTTGTCCGGCGTTCTTGAGACTCGCTCCGATAGACAACCCTCGAAGATCTTGTCGGCGGAGGGGGCGATGGACTGAGTTCGATGATCCTTGAACTTGTCCGGCGCGGTGGACTTCTCTCGACCTTCCTGTATGAGTGAGTACGAACAACGTCTGGAGGAGGCCACACCTCGTCGGATCTCGAAGCAAGACTGGGTAGCGGCGGAGGCGGCGCAGGGTACACTTCATCCGACCGTGTTTCCCTTGTGCGAACGATGTCAGGCGGGGGCCAGACTTCACCGGCATACCTGGAAGAGCGGCGAGGACTCAATGAAGAAGTTTTGAGCTTTCGTTCAGCCCTGATTTCTTGTGGCGGTTGCTGAAGTACTCGCAAGCCCAGGCGCGCCTGACTGGACTCCCGTCTGATAATACGTGGACGACTGGGAGAGTATCGCGTGACATAGATCTCCTCTCTATTTTGTCTCCGGCCCCGACGATCGTCATGGTCGATGTCAATGTGGACACATTCTCGCGGCCAGTCGCAGGGTTCCTCGGCCGTACATCTTCTGATGTATCTGTACCTACTGCTTGAACGATGCGAGCTCCCAAGCTTCTTTTTGCACCTTCGACAGGGTGTAGGAATCATAGGCTTGCCAGGAAGGACGGGGTTGTTGCGATGGAAACCTGCGGAGCGCATTTCACCGCAGTGACTGCAGGTGTGACAGAGCATAACTGGCACAGCCACCTCTTCTACCTGCGGGAGTGGTGCTTGTGCTGCGTGTGGTTGTCCATGCTGTTGGTAGTGGTATTGCTCGCTCGTCTGCCTCGATCTTGACTCCATAATCTCCTGCTGCGTGTTGCGTGACGATGGTACCATTGCGCTCGTAAGAGGAGCGGCTCGTCGACGTTCCATACCAGAATCCGGATTGCTATACTGCCAGTCGGCGTTGTACCCTGGCGGAGGCGGTGGTCGTACGTCGTAGCCCTGTGGAATCTGAGCGTGCCCTTGTGGTCCGGCTACTGGCGGTATCTGCTGTTGATCCTGTTGTTGTGACTGAGGGCTCAGAAGCGGTGGTGGGCGCTGTGGGATCCCAAGATGGTTGTACACGCCCTGGCCGTATCCACCCTGCTGTGGGTATCCAGCCTGTTGAGGGTATCCAGCTTGTTGAGGATAGCCTCCCTGGTATCCAGGAAAAGAAGCGACGGACGAGGCAGCCGGCGGAGGCGTGGGTGCTGCGGGAGGGACTCCGAGCCCTTGGAATTGCTACGCGACGGGTAAGCCAGGTTCTATATTTGCTGACGCACTGCGCGCGGGCGTCGAAGAGATGGGGCCGAACATGATTACGTCTATTCTTGCTGTCAGCCAACTTCTGGTCTCAGGCGGCAATGGCGCACTTACACATTGTAAAGATACGAGTTGCCTGGTCGGGCGAAGGAGCCGGGGTACTGAGGAATTGGCTGGCCTTGATCTTGACCTTGCCCATTACTGCCACTGCCGCCAGTGCGGCCCATGTACGACTCGAAGGCCCTTCTCTGTTCTTCGTTCGCCATATTGTGGTTTGAGCAGGTGCGAACGTGCGACTCGAAGGCGGAGGGAAGGCGGAGGACTGGCCCTGGTCGTGGGTCCCACGTGGGCGACCGGGAAAGCGCGAGCAAGTGTTAAGAGGAAGGCGCGACAGAGAGAGATGTGGGGTAAACAAATGATGGTTTGAGAAGCATGTGAGAAAGCATGTCGATGAACGTGGAGTCAAAGTGAAAGAGCAGACGCACAAGCAGAATTGCGCGACTGCGAAACCGCATCTCCAATCATGATAGTCAAACTCACCGCAACTCACCTCAAGGATACCGACGATGGGACTTGAATATTCTTTTATTTCTTCCCAGACGCCCGCCTGCGAACAATGCCAATGTGGCTTCTTATTTGTACAAATGCTATAGATCTCTAGCAAGACTTTGATACGCCCATCATGTCTACTCAACTCTCAATACCCTAGGTCCCTTCCTCTTGGTGGACCGCTTCTTCTTGTGGCCCTTGTCGAACGATACGGCGCTTTGGTGGTCGCGACCAAAGTTGTCAAGATCCTTGACCTTGTAGATCCTGATGATCCAGTTCTCGCTGGTAAAGGCCTCCTCGATGGTGCTGAGCTCGGGGCCTTGAGCGGGAAGACGCGCGCCACGGACACGGTCCTGGGCTTGTCCGGCGGGGAACAGCGCGTTGTAGTTGTAGTAAGACATCTTGTACCTGATCTGCTGTTAGTATCTGCTGGAGTTGGTGGGACTAAATCACTTACATCAAGCTGTTCTTCATGGTGGGGGTGGCCTCCTCGTCCACACGGTACTCGCCTCGTGGAGTGAAGAAGTTGCGCTCCTTGACCTCATCGGGCCAGATGCCCTCGGCAATCCTGACCATCCAGAGGAACTTGTTGATGTCGTCTCCAGAGTAGCCAAGTAGACCACCAAAGACGACCAGTACATAGTCAACCTCGTGTTGACGCATGATGGGGTAGCTGACCTCCTCCCTGGAGCTCATAGCCTTACCGACGGTAGCAATGTGCGTGTTGTTCCAGGTGTTGTTGTCGACAAGGGTAGGGCGGTCGGCCATACCACCGATCTGGTATCCGTAGTCCCACCACGACATGATCTTGGCGTTCTGAGGGGTGTTCTGCCTGAGCCAGTAGTATGCCTCACGGTAGTCATCGATGATGTGCTGGCTACCGTCAGGAAGTCTGGATGCGAGCACGACGGAGGGCGAAGAGTAGGCGTTGGAAGTGACCCATGTGCAGTGCAGAACGAACAGCATTAGGTAAATGGCGGCGGTTCCGGCGACGGTCAGCTTGGAGGCGTACGAGTAGATGCCGACGAGCGGGTTGCGTGTAGATCGGAGACCCTCGGGAAGGATAGCTGCAGCAGCGACTGCAGCGGTATCGGTGCTGCCGTTCTCGGTGACGGGCTTGGGGGTCTTGACATCGAGGTAGGTGTCGAGAATCTGCGAGAAAGCGATTGCCGATGCAACGCAGACAATGGGAGTCAAAGTGAGCATGAGACGGACCATGACACCAGCGAAGTAACTGGCGAGCACAGCGTAGATGACAATGAAGACCTGCTCGTCGGTCAAAGTGCGGAAGCACAGGTAGACACCGGCGGGGAAGAGCCAGATCATCATGTTGAGATCGAAGAAGAAGGCAGGCCATGCGGTAGGCTGGTGCTCGGAGACGGAGGCGATGATGGGAATGTGAATCTTGGCGTATCCGGTGTCCCAGAGCGAATAGAAACGGCCAGTCCAGGGCGCAATGACACCAGAGACGGTCAGAAGCACCAGTCCTCCGACACCGATGAGGAAGACACTCAGAACCAGAGCGCGGAGCAGCGTCTGGAACTGCTTGCCGGGAAGCTGTGCGCGAACCCAGTCGACAAAGGCAACCAGCTGGAGGAGGCCAAAGACACCGAGCGCGGACATGTGCTCGCTACTGCGGATAGGCAGGAAACCGACGAAGGGAATCTGCATACTCGCGAGCGTACCAAGCGCATACCACGAAGTGTAGCTGACGTACAATCTCGGGCTGTATCGTCCCATGCAGATCAAGACGAAAGCGTGCAGGGGCAGCAAGTTGGTGATGAAGACGTATCCACCCCACGCTGACACCATGTATCCGTAGAACAGCGCAGTCAATGCACCCCAGAACATGGATCCGAGCTTGACCGCCTTGATCCATAGGAAGAAGGTGAAGACGAGCAGGAAGATGGCAATGGCCTCGTTATCGTAACTTCCTGCGACGGATCGCGAGATGTAACCGGGGGTGATGCCCATGAAGGCTGCGGCGAGCAGACCGGCCGAGGGCGACGGGACCATCTCGGAGGTCAGGAGGTAGGTTGCGAGCGCGGTAAGACCTGAGAAGGCAGGCGCGAGGAGGACACAGATGTTTCGAATGTCGACGGGCATGGCGAGAGCGCGGAGGGCGTGGTAGATGACACCGCTGGTGACCATCAGTCCGGGGTAGAGAGTACCACCCGTGACTCGTCCAAGAGGGTGCCATGTTCCTGTATTGCTTATCAGTCCATTGTAGCTATATGGTATTGGGGCATGCGGCGGGGATGCGTACGGTCGTCGAACCAGTCCCAGAAGCTGTAGAAGCCATTCTGTACCAGGTATTTCGTCGCTCGGAAGTTGAACCACGGATCGACTGCATTGCATGATCAGTCAATTGCTCCATAACTCCTCAATTGTAGTACTGACATTCGTGGATGATGCTCTCAAAGCGAATTACGGAGAACAGACGACTGCTTACGGCGGCGGCAGCGATGAGGCACAGGATAATCACCCGGAGCAAGCCTCGAGTATTGCGGCCGGTCGCCTGCTTGAGAAGCTGCCCGTCATCTACGGCGGCAGCCATGTTTGCAGGAGAAGTTAAGGAAGGTGAGGTTGTTGGTCGCAAGGCCGCGTCACGGAACTTCTCGAGAGCTATGCTTCATGAGCACACGTTTCCAACTCCACGCCTCGGCATTTGGTTTCGCCGACCTTCAGCACCCCTGTAACGTCATCACCATCACCATGTCCGCGACAGCCACGGTGCGCCATTAAGCATACGGCATTCTTTCACTTTGCGTCGGTTCGCATATGCAAAAATTGTCTACTGGGTGTCTGGATCTGCGCTATGAAATATCACTAGTCCGCGCAAAAGAAATCCATCATGGAAGCCTCCATCTCTTCAACACTGCAAATGGCGCAGACGCGATGGTTGCAGTTGGCGCAAGCAACATCTACAACACCGCAAGGGCTTCGACATGCGCACTGCGTTTGTTAGTACTGTTGCAAACAGCTGAAACAGGTAACTTACACAATAGCGATTTGTTACCATGGTCGTTTGTCTTCGCTTTGGGTATCGCTCGCCATATGCCGAATCTTCTGAACGCTGTCGTTTTATTGGAGTTCCTAGCGCGAAGTCTCCTGCAAGTGGCGAGTGTCGCATAGTTTCCTGGCTTGCCATCGGCATGCCGGGCATGTTGTCTGGAGGAGGAGGACGCGGTCGTGGCTGTGGAACATCGTCATCAGCTTCCCCGACAGCATCCAGATCGCCGTCCTTTCCCCCCTCGTCATCATCGTCAAAGTAGTTCCGCTTCTTCTTCTCTTCTAGAAGCTCCTTCTTCGGTCGGTTCTCCTCAGCACAGATCCAGTCATCGATACTTCTCTTCTCCTTCTCGAAATGACGCGCGATATGATCGAACCGCTCATCCCAAGCTGCATTGCGTCGCTCTCTGAGCGGCACTATATCTTTGCACAGGCCACACCAGAAGGTGACTTGACAGTTCTTGCCAATCCTGCGGAGGTTGACACGCTCTTGAGCAACCTCACACGCCATCTTATGCTGTGTCTCTAGATGGCTCTTGAACGCTCCTTCGCGGTATAGATGCACACCACAGACCTGACCTGTCTGAAGTTCTTGGTCGCAGCGGAAGGCTTCCTGCTGGAAATGCTGACTGTTCTCGTGGCGCTTCCAATCTGACTTTGCGCCAAAGCGTTTGTGGCACTTAGGATATGTGCACCCATAAGGCCTGTTATGTCGCTTGATGTGCTTACGCAGATCGCAGTCACGAGCGACCGCAAATTCGCAGCCAGACATCGGGCATATCTTGTCATTGTTTGAAGAGCTCTTGCTAGAGCGACGTTGTTCTGTGTCGGAGGATCCTGGGCCTTTATTGACAAGCTCAGCCATCATCTTCAACAGTGCATCATTCTTTTCAGACTTCGACGTTTTCCTGTACGTATCGTCGCGATTGGCTTTTTGTATCAACTCCAGTATGCGACTCTCAATGTCCACAGGCTCCGGTAGATGGAAGCGCTGTTCAGCCTTTTTCTTGAGCTCTAGTGCTTGCTGCTCAGCCTTAGTCTGCGGAGCATTGGATAAAGAAGAACCCTGTGAGGACCTTTGAATCTTGAGATGATTACTTCCAGACGCGCCAGGAGCGGTCTTCATAGTAGAAAGAGAGTCTTGTATTCCCGGTGCATTGTGCCGAGAACGAGTCACCTTCGGCACTTTCTGGATACGACTGTTGTGTGGTGCGGAAGTAGGCCCAGGTCCAGAGAGCCGAGATAGTGGCTGTGCTTTTGGCACAAACACGGAGTCCTGGCTTGGCGAAGATAGATACCTGGCATCCTGTATCATGGGAAAGTCCATCATAGAGATGCTGCCCGTCGTTGGGCTTATGGAGAAAGGAATCTCCATGCCAGCTACTGTTGACCCAATGTCCAGGGGTGTGACGATTGGTTTACCCTCCATGGGAGAGTCGGCTGGCCTGGGGCGCCATACCGATCTATCAAAGTCAGCTTAGCTGACTCTTTGAATGTGAAATGTGCAAATCTACCTTTCTACGAGATCAAGTACGTTCTCGTCTTTGTGCATCCTCTCAACATGCTGCTTGAAGTTGTCGAGGCGTGGCCAGATCTTCTCTTTGTTCCTACAATCCTCCACAGCACACTGATAAGACTTCTTGTCAATGTCCTTTCGATGTAGGCTTTTCTGATGCCGCTCAAGATCGTTCGTAGTTGTGAACCCCTCTACTCTTTTGCAGCCGGGTACTTCACACTTGAAGGGTTTACTGTGTTTGAGCATGTGTTTCCTGTCACCTTTCATTAGCACATGGTCATCTTATGGTGATGCCGCATACGCACTTGAACTCTGAGTTACACTTGAGTACTTCTAGGCATTCATGACACGGAAATTCTTTCTTTGACCTCGATCTCCCACTACGACTGCTGACGTGCGATCGCTGATCTGAAGGCCTGCGTGACATCGTAGGCGCCTCGCTTGCTGCAGACTCGACATGCATATTGTCAATGTGTGACATAAAGCTTGCCGATAGTTCCTGATTGATATGATCGGGCTCATTGCTTATAACAGACTTGGTGTTCCGCGAGATGTAACCCTCGTCAGATGGCAAAGCCTGACTATCAACGTCAGATCCCGGACTCCATGGGAACTGAAAATTCACAATCGATCGAGGGGAAAGACTATGAGCACTGCCAGATTGGGAAAGCCTTAGATTGTATGGACTCCATGCTGGCTCTGGCCCTCTACCGGCAGTCGAGCCGTGATAAGAACGGACATAATTCGGATCGAGAAACTCGAAATCCCTGGGCATATGGGCGCTAATGCCATTATCTAATGGAGAGAGATTGGTCTGAGGATGGTTCATGCGATCGAAGCCTCTCGTATGTGGTGCAGTTCTTGGAGTATGTAAGGAGGCTGATGAATTAGACCTTTGGCTCCGTACACTATGTGCACTCCGTGGTTGTTGGGAGAACGTGCTCTGCTGCGTCTGCCCGGGATCAATGTGCAGTACAGGTATTTGGCCTCCATAGTATTGGTTGGGAACCGCAATGTTGTAAGACTGTTGACAGTTCCCGTTCTGGTTGTTGATTGACATGTTCGCTATCATGGGTCAGCATCTTTCGGGGCTGCCTCAGGCATCAACATGCCACCCAATTCATCCCAACCGGCTTTCGAACATGGAAAGAGGCATCATCGTAGTACAACCCTCCGTTCATAAGTACAGACGAGAAGAGAAACAAAAGTATAGAAAAGGCAACAACAACACATACCTCTAATCTCGAATCGTCAGCCTGCTGCGATATGGAAGCCTTACGCCTGCCTCAAGGAACGCCGTACGCAAACCGTTTCAGAGGAACAGGCGCGCAGCTGTGCATTAGTAGAATCCAGCTGCAGCACACCGCCCCAATCTGCTAAGATGACAAGCCAGATGGGTACATGTAACAGGTAATGTGTGTGAGGTCCTCCGTTTCGTGTCCCATGCGCACGGGCATGCGCTGCCTGCCGGTGAGATATGAGGAAAGGCTTGAATACCAAGACGCTGTCACCCCATCGCGTGCACCTGCCCTGCACTGGCTGTATCGGAGGACTTCGATTCGGAATGGGTAAAAAGGGGACTGTAGTATGTCGTCACGGTTTCTTTCCACACGCAGTGGTTATCGCAGTTGTGTGCCTGTGATCGCGATGGCGAGGGTGCGCCGCATGTGGGCGGCCTCTCAGTCCTCCTCGCGCAGGGGCGCTACCAGGAAGGCGACCGGTGCCCTCTTTGCCCTCTTTCTCTTTCTGACAGCTCATTCGTGCTGGGGCTGCACCTAGCGAGCCGTTCACCGAATTGCAGATGGAGGACTCCAAGTTGCGGGTGGCTGTGTCGAGAGCCCTCCATGTGCGTGGGAGACGCATGCAGCCAATCACAGCCCCAGACCGGGTTGCTCCCCGGCGGCGCGATCGATTTAGCACGCCGCGCTGATGTGTGTGACCGGGCGCGGGGGCTGGAAGTTTGAAATAAGTCAAGCATTGTACTCGCGCAAAGGGGTTTTACTGGCGCTGGCGATGGATGTCGTGCAATCACGCCCTTGTGGAGTGGAAGGTACCTACGGGCTTTGAGTGGGTCGCAGCTTCCAGTCTACGATATATCTCACAAATGGTACTGTATCGTATGGAGCGGACAACAAAGCCTGGAGAATCGTGGCATTGAGAAATTGATGCAATTAACGCGCCGATGTCTATAATACCATGCATGCCTATTGCACCACCCGATGCGACAATGTAGTCGATCCAGTTTGAATCCGAAGCGACAGTAGGTATCGTAACGCGTCTAAACCAAATTCGCCTCGTAAACATGAAAACCTCTTCCGCTGTGCAAGAGTGGATATCGTACGAAATCAACGTGAGCCAAAACAAAATCAGATCCTACGCCTATCCTATGGGCGTGTCGATGAAACCCTTCCCATAATCCATCCCCGTCTATTGCTGATGTTGGTATTGATAGTTGTGTTGTGCCGTCAGATACGACATGGCAGGGTAGGTGCTGCCTTGTTGGTAAGACATAGCGTTGTTGATATCGTAACCCATATTCGGCATCTCAGTCGTCAAGCCCTGCGGCTCTTGAGTGTAGTAGGAAGGAAAAGGTGTAGTCGTAGCGTCGACCGGAGAGTCCGTGTACAAGGACTGCTGTTGTTGAACGGTATTAACAGGATTCATGCCATACTGCTGCACCCCGTTCTGCATATTCCCGTTCTGGTATGGCTGACTAGGAATTTGCAGCCCGTTCGTGTAGCCATTGTGTGGCTTCCGAGGGACCTGTAGACCTGGGTAGGTCTGGTTCGTGAAATTCGTGGCATTGTTTGCCACATAGTTCGCATAGCCGCTAGTCTGAGTCGGTGGCGGTGCCATTTGCGGTGGGGGGTAGGTTTGCATCGGTGTAGATCCTGCCTGGGATTTTGTTTCCTGAGGATAAAGACTGTGAGGGTCGATACCAGGTGCATATGCGGCATTAGGATTGTACCGCGACGGGTTGTCTAGTGGCGAGCGGCCCGGAGTAATGGAGAGCTTGCGGCTTTCGGGCAGCTCTACCACGGGGCTAATGATGCTGTCCGCGTTGAGCTGCTTCTGGTCCACAAGCGTAAGAATGGGCATGCTGAGCTGCTCCATGTGTTTTGCCAAGTGAACAGTCAATTTCTTCCAGCTCGTACAGATGTTGCCACAAAACCGGCATGGCTCGTCCTTGGGTAGCTTAGTCGTGTCGCGGCGACATCTTTCGACAATGGCCCAAATGTCATCTGTCTTTGCGTTAGCGAGATCTCAAACAAAGAGACTTGCCCATCTCACCTTGGTCACCAGTTGCTGTCGCGTCTTTGTGAGCGGCTCGGGTACGTTGCCGTGGCTCAGCTATCTTGTGCTCACGAACGAGATGCTGCACGAAGTTGTCCTTGCGATAGCAGGTATGGTTGCAGTCTGCGATCTGACATGTCCAGTTCTCCAGCTGACGGTGTCGCTCGTTCTCATGTCTGACCCAGTCCGCCTTGCGCTTGAACGATTTGGGTTCCCCGCAATTGGGGAAGGTGCACGTGAAAGGCTGTACGTCTTCATGTACATGCTTGGTCCAGTCGGACGGCTTGTAGAACTTTTTGACCTTGAAACACAACGTGCATTCGAACTCGGCTGGTAGGCGCTTGACAGGGGGAAGAGGTACACCTGATGGGAACGCGGCAGGAGCCACATTACCTTCTAGCGGGGGCTCGCCATCGTCGTCGGAAGAACCAGGTGCAGTGACCTGGAAACCGATGAAAGGAGTTTCGGCATCCTTGGCACCGGCTTTCGGAGGGAGTTGCTTCGCCTCACCACCGAGGTCAGTACAAAACTTTGCAGAGGCACAATTCTTATGCTGTACGGCGTTGAGATGCTTGACCTTGAACTCCAATAATCTCTTGTATCTGCGCATTTGCTCCTGGGTGATACGCTCAACCATGAAATCAGCCAGGCGTGGGTTCAGTTGTCTAGCATGACTTCTAAAGCCGTCGTACGTTGGGACAATGGGATCGGTGCGGACCGTGAGATCCATACTAACGGGGTCTTGGTCATCTTCATCATCGTCTCCAGCTGGACTTGGCTGTGCGGAAGGCTTCGTGGCCTCTGTGTCCGCGAGCGGTGAAGCTAACATAGGCATCGGTGGACCTCCGTGCTGCGTCATCAGCTCAGCCAGCCCAGGCGATCTCCCTCTCCCGATATCGCTCCTGCTTCGAGTACGTCTGATGGCATTTTTGGGACCTTTGTACCACGGGCCCGCTGCCGCAGACAGACCTACTGAACTAAGTTGTCCCCCGTCCTTGCTATGACTGCTTAGGTTTGTATCAACTCGAGGAGATTTTGGACGACCCCAACTACCTATACGTTTCGGCTTCTCAATGATGGGCTCCTTGGACTTGTCCGAGGCTGCATCAGACTGCTGCACTGGTATACTGCCCTTGCGCTTGAGTATATTGCTTGGTGTACGTTTGGGTAGAATGTTTTCCAAGAAGCTGGGCCGCCGTTGTCGCTCCTTGCTCTTTCTTGGCTCGGGTTCGATGACTTTGATAACACCGGGAGCTGCACGTATGCTACCAATATCAGACTCGCTGAGACGGCGTGAGCCAACAGTTGCCGCAAGTGAAGCTTGTTCAACGTCCTTCGCTCGAACCAAGAAGCGCATCATCGCAGCATTGGATGTGGGCGGCTGATATCGAGCCGATGGGTTTGGCGGGTGTGGCTGCAACGGTCCATCTACCCATGGCTTGACAGCAGTACCATCCTTTGGTATAAGTTCTTGTGTCGGAGGAAAGTACGAGTTTTCTATATGGCTTGCGTTGATATCGATCGCAGCGGGTGGGGATTCAGGTTCTGCCGACTCATCATCGTCGTAATCGTAGTCGCCGTAATCGCTTCGTTCGTCAATGTAAACCCCAGGTCCAGGTATGCCCGAATCATCTATACGGTCGAAGTTGGTACGCACACCCAGCCCGAAGCTATCTGGGAGAGCCCGGCGTTGAATGTCGTTGTGGCTCTTCGCTCGACGACGACCCGGGATGGGCTTGAGTAGATTGTTCGAAGGCCCTACGTCGCCTGCCTCGCTTCCGACCTCACTCTTAGTGAGCCACTCCTGCACTTCAAGCTTCTTCTCATCCTTCGAGCGTTGCTCTGCAATTTCCTCTATGCTGGGGATCCAGGCGTCACCCATCCGGCGGCGCTCGTCAGGGTTAATACCGTTCTGCCCCGACTGTCCTGTCGTGAGCCAGGAGCCGTCCTCGTTGCGATCGGGTCCACGGACTCCTGGTCGCGAATGCAGGTTCTCGTGAGGCTCCGCTTCACCATCCGAATCATCGTTATGCGCATACGGCGATAGGTGATTACCGGAATGACGACTACCATAGCTGTGCTTGCTGACAGGCATGCTGTTGTCGGAACGCGAAGGCGAATCTTCTCTGCTATAGTTTTCCACACGTACAATGGGACTCGTCAAATGTCGCGTGAGGGGCCTTGGGTTTGCCATTGGCACGTTTCCAGGACTATTCGTTAGAGCTGGGCTGTGCGTTTGCTTGATAGGTGTTGTATGCGGTAGATGATTCGCCTGGTTTGGCGGCGTCGACATGTTCCCGTTGTACTGCATAGAGGGGAAGGCTGAGCTCTCATCGCCTAGTGCCGGACTGGAATTGTTCGTCGCACTGGGCGACATCAATTGATGGTGCGGGTTTAGCGAAGTGTTACTGAGGTGGTTGCTTGGCTGAGCGTTGTACGTGTTCAGCGTCCCTGATGTCAAGGCTGACATGTCAACATGCTCTTGGAATGCCGGAAAATTACTGGCCGAACCGTTATCGGCAAAGGTCAGCCCAGAGAATTCATCGAGAACGTGTGCATTGAAATTTGGCGTTGCATAAGCGCTGAGATCGTGGTGACTGGGATCGCTCATGTAACCCGTTTCTGGGCTAAAATGCTCAACTGAATGTGAGGGCGAGATGTTCTGTCCGTTTCCGTAGTAGGACCCCGGAGAAAGACCGTAGTTTGGAGCTTGATTGTAGGCATTCGGTGGTGGATATGACATGTCCGGATGTAATGAGGAGTCGAGAGAGGATCCAACGTTAGGAGTGAAGATGGATTCCTGCCCAGGGGTGCTGGATGAGGGAAGCGATACCATGGACCCATCGTAAACCATGGATGCAGGCTCTGCAGAGTATGTGAATGTGCCTTGCGCGTCTGGCATCAGGAAGTTGCCGCCAGTAGGCGCAAGTTGATAGCCGCTAGTCTGCACATCCTGAGGGTGGCGTGGCTGACGCCGAGGGTCCTGGTAGGGCTGTGTATGCGTATCGACTGCTTGCATGATTACTTTCGCTGTAACGAACAACCTGAAAGTGGAGTCGATAGTAGATTAGGTCGCGACGATTAACAAATGATTGCGACGGGCAGGTGGTGTGGAGGGTAACGTGACTGTAGCCAGCGCTGCTTAGGGCGGCATAGTGCTGCCTGGAGGTTACTGATGTTGAATATTGCGAAAGTCAGAAAACCAGATGAGGGGAAAGTGTCGCAGCGCGTCCAGTTACCCAGATAGGTTGGTGGGATGGCGGAACGAGGGAGAGAAATATCGCAGTGCGGCTGAAAGCGAAAGAGGACAGGCTGCTGTAGCTTGAAGCTGGATGGCGATCTGCCTCGCACAGGACGGAAGTTTGGAGCCGTTGAGGCTAGAGGCAGTGCCGGCACTCTACGATGTTGACAGCTTCAGGGTGGGTCGCGAGCGAAATCGGGAGACGGCGCGCGCGAACAACAGAGAAGCGGCGTAAAGTGCTCGGATGGTTGGTAGAAACAGAGTGGAATTCGATGTCGACGGTGGAGCCAGCGGCAGCAACGAGCGAAAGTCGAGGCACCGGTCAAGGCTGATTCCCCCCAAGATCTCCAGAATGGTAAGACCGGGGTAGAGCGATGCACGCCAAGCAGAAGTTCGCCGTCTCGAAACAATGTGGGCGCAGGCAGTCCAGATGTCTATGAAGTCGTGAGAAAGAGGCAGAACGACCGAAAACAAGCGCGACGGCGCGACGGTAGCTGTGAGCTTGACTGGCGTCTCGAGGCAGATTTGCAGATGCGTGACACGCTCTTGGCAGGCTTGATACAAACGGCACAGCCTCAGTTGCTATACAGAAGCGGGAGCAGGGGGCTGAACATGGGGCGAGCGGGTGGCTATGCTTCAAGATGATATCCTCATGGCGAATTCAACCTGCTATGTGTGATGCTTGTAGTAACTCCTGTCATCAGATTCTACTGAGGCGGTTACTCCAAACCGCGCTCGAGGTGCGAAACATGCAGCGGCCTTTGTTGTGCGCCCGCGTAGGCTGGCGCTTAGCTGTTTAGCAGCCGAACGCTGATGCTATATAAAGGCCGGCTAAGCCTGGAATTGCTCTTCTGGAGAGCATGCCAGCGACGTAGCAAGCCTGCTAGTGATCAGACGCGTGCGATGGACAACACGGACGAGGTCGCGCTGTTGTTCGCTTTGCTGATTTGCGAATGTCGCGATATGACGGCATATAGTAGCATGGACTGCCTTGCATGATCAGCGATTCAGCCACGCCTAGAGATGAAGCTTTCCTAGCCACGTCGCAAGCGGATAAGGTAGTGGCTGGCCCCAGTTTTGGATTATGAGCGAGGCCGGATGGTCTCCCGGGCTGTTGTGGGGCTCACGGGAATATGGCGAAGGAGCACATCGACCTGCTGTCTTCAGCGTACACTACCTTGATCTAGGCTAGGTCTCGAGAATTATGCTGTCATATCGCTGCGGGCGAGTAGTATGGCGGAAATGGCAGGATCGCTTCGCCTGGAAACGATACATGTATAGTGCGCCGCACTCATAGGTTGTGATATATAGCTGCGAGTGCCGCATACTGTGGTAGACGCCGAAGCCACGAGTGACAGCAATGGTCTGATTTCAGTGGCCATGAAACGCGCCGCTTGATCTAGCGGGCTATGCATATAGCCCTCATCGCGAGATTGTTTAAGAAGCAGTCGAGTTGGCATCCCGGCGCCAGGTGAGACGCAGCCGCAGGCAGAAGATCCGAGCCAGGCTCTAAATGTCGCAACAGCTTTTCGAGTACTACTACCGGAACATGTAAGGTACCCGGAATGAGGGTCTTGCAGATGTTGTGTCGATCCAGGGCGGGCGATCGCAAAAGCTGACGTCACTGCAGACCTCTCTCACGGACTTTTGATGCCATCGCGAAATGGAGCGTACCTGGTATTGAAGTGCTTGTGCAGGTTGGATGTACCGAACATGTACTGCAGATGTCCGCTTACCAAATAGTGAGGCCAGGACGGGTAAAAGCAGCCTCAAGCCGACGGAGTAATTCCTTTGCGAGCCTTGGAATCTCTGTCGAAGAAAGTCCGCTGGCACTGGGCGCATCGGGGCATGGGATGTAGGGTGTGTCTGATTGATGAGGCTCGGAGATGGGGCTAACCATTTCCATGGTCGCGATCCAGGCGTGCGGGCAATCGCAACCGGTGTGTCTAACGGCAGTCACCCTTCGGTGGAGCGGAGGCTAACAACAGCAGCATCCACTCTTTCTGCAGCACCGCTGGACGCGAAAATGGAACGAGATGTGCCTCAGAGCGCTTCTTCTTCCTCTTCCTTTTTCACTCTCTTCCTACAGTCCGCCAATTGTCGCTTCCTCCTTTCCCCGCATCTGCGTCAGCGAATTTCTGCGCGTCACTGGCCACATTCGCATGTGATAGCATCACCAGACGGAGCCCGCACCCTACACGCAGCACGAACGGCATCACAGAGCATTGGGGCGTTGCACAACACCTGATACAACTGTGCTAGCGGCAAACGTCTGAAGTGTACGGGCTTCTGCAAAACAATAAAGACGCGAAAAGCACAAAGCCTACGAAACGTCCTAGGCTTGTCTATTACGGCGTCTTGCTTAGGAGTAATCGACTCTCCGATCGCAGTACCAGATACTATACGCCCCTTGTATCCTCGAGTGGGTACAATCAGCGCGATCAAACTTTCACACCATACCCAACCTACCTCTTCACACCGCTGCCATGCCTGGGCTCAACGAAATCATCCCACGGCCCGATTCGAGGGAACTTCTCCCGCCACTGCTAGCCTGTCTGTCGACAGCAAATGCTTCCAAAGACGTACCTCCGGGTCTTCTACCCCTCCTATCGCCTATCCTCCGTCAACGTGTACAGCTTCTATCTTCCAACGAGTGGTTGTCGCTGTTGTGCTGGGACCGAGACATCGCTTCACGACTACCGCAAATCATCGAGAAGATAAACGTCGAACCTCACCCAGCTTCCGGAGAGATTGAATTGGAGGAACCAGATCAGATACTGTACCGACGGTCAGACCCCGAGACCCTACACGCCAAGTTGATACTGGGTGAATATGGAATCATCCCAACATATCTCTGGTGCACAGGTGGAGAAGGCGGAAGCCGCTGGCTACTGGCTGAGCTGAGAGGCACAGAAGACGTTGACGACGGCACCGAGTGGTTCGAGAACGTTCCCACTGCTGACGAGGCTGGCTTCAGGCGAAAGTCTGTGTCGGTCAAGAGCAACGGCGTCGCACCCTACCAAGCCGTGGTTCAACCCGAACCCGCTGCGGAGGAAGCAGAAGAAGAGGACGACGGGTCTTACTGGGCTGCATACGACCAGACGCCCGGACGAACACCACAGCCTAGGCGATCCCCCGCGCCAGGAACCAGCGGCCGAACGCAGATCGGGCCGTCGCAGTCAGAGCTCGAGTACTTCGAGCGCTACGCGTCGGAAGTGCAGCCAGCGCTCGATGCGCACGACCCAGACGAAGAGGAGCCCGCAGCTGGCGAGTCGACACTCAATGGCAACGCTCTCAGCTACACGCGCGAACCGCAGACCGAACCCCTCGACACATCGAACCTGGGCCCGAACGGCTACGACTCGTCGATGCCACCGGCGTACACAAGCGGTCTCCTGAACGGCAGCGGCGTTCATGGCAACGACAGCGCGGTGCATCTCGAGTCCATTGAGCAGGACCAAGGCGCTACCGCAAACGCCCTGAGCCACCCCCGGCCCTCTTCTTCGGCATCAACCAACTCGGTCGAGAGGCTAGAGCGAAAGGCAGAAAACTACAGCCAGGCCGAGCTTGCGATCAAGCAACACATCAGCACAGATATCAAGAGCCTGTTTCGGTTGGCGAGAGCATCGGGCATAGACAGGGAGGAGTTTGAGAGAATTATTCAGAGGGAGCTTGAGGTATTGCCCATGCTTGAACAGGAGATGTCATAAATTGGGCCATGTAGGAGGGCCAGATTGGATAGTAGGAAACGACCAAGAGGTCAGTTTCATGGGCATTTGTTGGCGTTTAACATAGCTTAGCCATTGCATAGTATTCCTAGATAGCGAATATGACGTCCGCAGCAAAGAGAGGCCTCCTGAATGCCCCACCAAACCATTGTGACGCTTTTGCCGTTCCTCGAAAGCAAGATGGTCCACGTGAAACTGTCGACACCTTAACGCCAGTCTCTTTCCTTCCTGAGCCTTAACCGTCCTTGTATGATCCTCTATCGCCGTCTCTGCGCATCGCCACTCGCGAATTTGGCACCACTTGCTTTGAGCTGCTGCAAGATGTCCACCGCATTCGAGCTGTTCAGGTTCATCGTCTGGTCCATGCCCGCACTTCCGCGACCGATCTCCTCTACCACGTTGTTGGGGTCCGCAGCGCCGATCACCGGAACTTCAGAAGCGAGCCATTGCTGGAAGGGTTTCGCGACAAAGTAGCCATCCGAGGTAAACCACCGGGTCAGGGGCGCGCGGATATGGATCGTCTGTTTGGGATTCGAGGCGTAGGGGGCGGGTGTGAAGACGACGTCGCACTCGTAGATTGGGATGTGCTTCTTCGTGGAGGAAGATATCCTCACCTTGATGTTGTCAGTATTGCTTAACACATGGGTACGGAAATGGGGCATGTGAACATACCCTGCCTGTCTTGCCCTCTCCCTCATACACTACACCCTTCTCCACAAACCATAGCCAATAGCTGAATGCGGTGTTCAACAGAAAGTATGCGACGACAGCAGGCAGTGTGTAGGGCTTGCTGGCTTCCCAACCAAACTTCCAGTCGTAGTAGAAGAGTGCGCCGGCGATGGTGACGGCTGTGTAGCCGAGGACTAACCGCACATCGGTCTGTGTGTGGATCTGCTTGAACTTGAGGCTGTTGAGGTAGTTGGGGAGAGCGTCGTCGGTCGTGTTCTTGAGGTCTGGTCGCGAGTATTAGATATGGTCTGTAGGCGAATGCGTACATGGTTGTGGTGACGGGAATGGAAGCATACCGGCGAGGGAGTGGACTGCGATTTT